AAATGGCAGTAACTGATCCTGAATTTTATGTCTATATATTATGCCAAAATTTCTGAATTATAGTACTTAGAAATAATGAATTATACAATTCATTGATTTGTGACACCAGTAAAATCTAAATTGTTTTACAGTTCACCAATGGTACAACAAAGATTTACATTTGGATTATCATCATCAGAGAGTCAGTCAGACTTGGCTCAATTAGAATCACAAAGAGGTTTGTTTTTAAAAGATGTAATGAAAACAAAAAATGTATAAGAAAAAAATCATATTTGATATACATGACAATGTTTTTAATGTAAAAGAAATACAAGGTATATATGTTTTCAGTAGTAGCTGTTCTGGTGAAATAGGATATCAGCTATGTTTTACTCTCCTCAAAAATGAATGTCTGTTAAAATTAATTTATGCATAGTGAGATGCATAGCAAAATCTACCGGCTAGTATTATATTATGGACTACAACAGGCAATTATTAAGAAATTATATATAACAGTGGATGCTTTATTTGAGATTTTTACCAGGATTAGGCCTTATTTTCATGAATATTTTCCTTTTAGTGAAAAGGTTAAAAAAACAAAATATAAACACCCCCATGGTAAATTTTAAAATAACTTACAAGATGCCATGAGATATTTAAACATCCCAAGAAATCGGCCAAAGTGTGCTGTTAAGGACAATTCCACGAACAAATTTATTAATTTTTTAAAGGCACAAAATATATTGTGAATATATCCTCAACTTTTGTAATTCTATTGAGAATTTTTTCATGGAACATATCATAAAGCAAAAAGAGAATCACAAATATTATTGAAGTAGCATCATATCAACACCAGTATTAACCATTGTGATGTCAAGAAAGGTTTTGGCAGGGGTCAGTCAGAAACCATGCAAAAAAAAAACTGTTCCTTGAAGTATTACATAGAAAACTGTACTTGAATCCCACTTTATACTGTGTGTTTACTCAGGTGTTGATTTCTTCGATGGCGATATACACAAGGAATAACAGCAAACTGTTGTAAAGTATCAACCTAATTATGTCAATAAAACCTGGCAGTGTAACCTTCATATATTTTTTTTCACAATAACTGTCCCGATTTTGGTTGTATCATCCCGATTTTCATGTCTCAACCCGAATATCGATATCGGGATCATAAAACAAGTAAAAATCATGATTTTCACAATATGTACCTGAAAAAATTGAGGTTACCGATTTTGAAGTTTTTCTGATCAATTTTTATAAATCTATATAATTTTACCTGGCGACATATTGATGGCAAGTGCACAACTCCAAGCTAATCAATGGTCACAACAGGTGTCATAATTTGTTGTTACAGGTAATCTGCTTATCTGATGGGTCATAATGATCTTCAAAAATTAATTAATTTGTAAATAGAATTGGTCAGTCGGCATTTCAATTTTAATCAATTTATCATACAGTCACAATTTGCAACGTTTACCGTAGTTTCATGACAAAACTCATTAGGAAACATCGTTTATCTTGAAATCCATTATATTTTTTTAATTCAGACATGTTTCTGTCCAGTTCTGATTTAAAATCGATGCCATATTGGATTCACTTCTACTGTGTATAACCCCCTGCCTGTAGGAGCACCTCTGAATACCAAGAAAAATAGCTCAAATTTCATTCATTTTCTCATTACTGATAGACTATCTCAATCTGTCTTCATCCATCCAACTTTAGGACATTTAGGTAGAGGTCTTTTGAGCCATGGTGCAAAGATAAGAAGGTCTTTGGAGGGAGGGGAGGGGGTCTTCATTTTGTTAGGCCATTTTTCTATATTCTTAAGTTATTTTGCCTATTTATAAGTACAAGAATCATGCAAATAAAAGAAATCAATGCTTATTAGCTCATCATCAGTATACAAAAGAAAAAGGAAGAGACATGAGACTATTTCAAGAGTAAAAAAACAGTGAACACAGGAACGCCGCAAAAATTGTAACCCTTAAAAATCTGGTTGCGCACCTAAACACCCATGGGAATTTTCAAAAGTTGGTAGGTCTGCAATATGTCAGTTTCTATTAAGACTTGTTAATAATAGATATAAAGCATGCAGTAATCAATCAACAATCAATCAGTCAAAAATGGTTGTGGTTAACTTGTGCAAGATAAGGAATGATAGATATGAAATTTTGAGACATGATCCTTTTACAAGGAATTTTTGTGAACAGAGAATTTGCAAATATAACACTTGTTTGGAGTAAGTGAGGGAATATGTTTTATTTTCAGCCTGTGGGATGGATGACACACGTATGGATTTATCACAGTTACAGGAGGGTAGTGGAAGAAGTGTACCTAGTACTCCACTTAGGACCACAGCTCCTGGTAGGTCTACACTGGATTCATATATATTCGGGGGTATTATTTTTGGTGGCATAGAAGAATTGAATTTGTTGATTGCCACTTTTGAAATTGAAAAAGAAAAATGGTATTAAAATGCATCAACTAATGGAGTGCTAGTTTCAGTATTAAAAAATGACATACTTTATGTCTGGAAGGTGTTAATGTATTGAAATAGCAATTTATTACAAAACACATTTACACTGGAAATCATTATGTCAAATGAGTTTGCAGATAAGTTCAAGCATTACATTACTCATTCCTACAGTTAACATGTTATCAATGGCAAACTTAAATAAGTTCCTCGTGAAGTACCATAAACATGAACTGTAAATCATGCATCAGTTTTCAAATATCAACAAGATGGTTGCTTTACATTTAACATTTAAATTTGTGGTCTGCTGTGATCCTTGAAAACCACAAAAATTGGTATACTATTAATAAAATGATTTCACAGTACTGGTATATCATCATGACAGGGTGATGGACAAGGGCGTTGTTCATATTGTACTCCTCTTTGGATCTCAACTCTTGTTTGACCTTGGTTTGTGTAGATATTTATCCAGTATTGCTATAACATAACTGATCATGGAGGGAAAACCATCTGTCTGCTTAGTGTCGTAGATTTTGGTAGATGTACAGTGGTTGTAGCATGTAGAAGGGGATACGGTAACTATTTCCCATATGCTCCCACTTATAACTACAGTTTATGTTAGTTCTGTAAGATAATTACATATAGGATGGGTGGAAAAGTAGATGTTAAACCAGAATTTTATACTGGGAAACAAATCAAGGTAGCTCTTATAAGGTTATATTTTCATTGTTTTCACTTAGGAACACAACTCCCGGTAATTTTTTAATGGATATAATACGTTAATATAAGTGAATAAAATCATGAAATTATGTTAATTACAAACAAAAAATTTCATTATTAAAAATTAGGAAAAGCTATACTTGCATAGAGAAAGGTACAATACGAATAATACTGTTACTAAAAATACCATAAACCCCCCACTACAAGTAAATTACCTATAAACTTCCCTAGTGTGAAGTGTGTGTTGATATGTGATTATAGTAAAATAAGCTTTAATTCTGAACTATCAAGATGAATGCAGTGATACTTATTTATTTCAGTATCAATCAGTGAGTCAGCCTTGGCAGCAGCTGCAGCAGCCAGTCAGGCAGCCACAGAATCAACTCAAGGAACAGAGGAGAGTAATTCTACACAAGATGTACCAGGGTTTGTATATGACAACTAAATAAGATAAAACAGAAAATTTGGCATTTCCCTATCTTAATCATATCAAACAAAACAGTTTCTAAAATTAAGTAAAGTATTTTTCTGAAGATATCAGCAGTATCTTGATTTATGTACCACTTCTATTATTGCATAAAATACAAGGTGAAAGTAACTAGACATATATTATGTCATTGGTTGATATCAGAGGATATTATATTTGTTATCAGGGAGGTGGGTACATGTGATCTGTTTCTTAAATTGGCTTTTATATACTTAATGATTAAATTAGTTTTAGTAAATTACAACTTATATGATTAAATTAGTTTTAGTAAATTACAACTTATATGATTAAATTAGTTTTAGTAAATTACAACTTATATGATTAAATTAGTTTTAGTAAATTACAACTTATCCGATAGTACTCCATTAACCAATAGTAATTTTTAATTAAATTGTACAGTTTTAACTAAGCCAACAAATTTAGTACTCCGATCTAGCTGAGCAGTAGCTGGACTATTTTAACTATAGGTGTGATATCTGATTGTGTATTTTATAGAGTTGTAGAAGAGCAGACAGAACCAGACTCTACAGACACTGGTGACAATGCTCAAGGTAATGTGATAATAAAAGTCTGTATTGTACTTTACTTGGCATTGTGAAGTTATTCTTAAAACAACATATTTAGTTTGTTTTTTTTTAGTTTCCAGATTTATAGCATTACTATAACATCAAACATCTTTAACTCAGATAAATTCACAAGTGTGTTCAATTCAATCAAATATTTAGTTTGAAAGTGTAAGTTGACTGAGTTGTCAGGACAACTGTTCTGTATTTACCTGGTAATGTTTGTGTTCCTGTGGAATTTACAAAGTTGTATGGACGTACTACAAAGGTAATAGATCAAAAAGTTGATAAGAAATCACTGAATATGGTCTGTTTTTAGAATCTAATTATATGGTTACCCACTCCTTTACTATAAAATTTTGTTATACTTGCATATAGCATGTAACATGAGATACAGACAACAGTCACTAGATATCAATATTTATAGAATAACTTATCCAAGAATTCAATTATAGAAAAATATTCAAGAAGTGACCTAACAGCACATTAATTCACAAATATGTGTAGTGCATGAGTTAATTATCCGTGTTGTTTGGTCATGAGTTGAATATTTTTTGATATTTTAATTCTTAGATTAGTTATTCTTTTTATTACATTGACCATGGACTTTTTAATGGAAATAAAGAAAAAAATGAAAGGAACTATATCTTTTTCTATGCATTCTCAATTATATTGATGCAAAGACTTGACAACCTCTTGACAGCACACATTGTTGTATGAGGTTAGAGGAGTGAAGTTATCAGATTTATTTCACATGTGTAATTATCGCTTTTTATACCCCACACAACGAGTTGCGGAGGGTATAATGTTTTTGACCCGTCCGTCCGTCAGTCTGTCAGTCTGTCAGTCCTGTTTCTTGTCATCGCAACTCCTCTCAAACCACACAACAGAATTTCACGAAACCTTTTTAGATAATAAGGACATACTATGTAGTTGTGCATATCGACAGGAAAATTATGATTCAATTCTTTTTCTAGGAGTTACGCCCCTTTGAACTTATTTACTTTAATGTACTACTGCAACAGTTTGTCATCGCAACTCCTCTCAAACCACACAACAGAATTTCATGAAACCTTTTCAGATAATAAGGACATACTACGTAGATGTGCATATCGACAGGAAATTACGATTCAATTTTTTTTCCAGGAGTTGCACCCCTTTGAACTTATTTGCCCAATATACAACTGCAACCTTTTGTCATCGCAACTCCTCTCAAACCACACAACAGAATTTCATGAAACCTTTTCAGATAATAAGGACATACTACGTAGATGTGCATATCAACAGGAAATTACGATTCAATTTTTTTTCCAGGAGTTGCACCCCTTTGAACTTATTTGCCCAATATACTACTGCAACATTTTGTCATCGCAACTCCTCTCAAACCACACAACAGAATTTCATGAAACCTTTTCAGATAATAAGGACATACTACGTAGATGTACATATCGACAGGAAATTACGATTCAATTTTTTTTAACAGGAGTTACGCCCCTTTGAACTTATTTGCCCAATCAGGCCTCTACAATAACTTTTTTTTCAACTTGTCCAGTAGGACAAGTACAACCCAAAACTTACTTGTCCGAATGAAATTGTAACTTGTCCAAAAAAAATCTTAATAATAACCTTTTTGGCATTTTAAGTTGATTCAAGAAACAAAATGAATTAAAACAATAGAACAGAATTTGATTTATATCTTTTGAAATACTTTTCAAAAATATGAGTCGAGAACAACTGAATCTAGTCATGTCACAGGGCTTAGGTTCTAGTTTTCATCAATGCCAAAGTCTCATCAAACTCTGCACATGAGGCACCGTCTGATAGGCCTGTCAATGTACACTCATTGGATTTGTATCCTGGTTGTTTAAGTTGAAAAAAGATTATTCCAATGCAATCAATAAAAAAAAGAAGATGATGTATGATTGCCAATGAGACAACTCTGTGCGAGAGACCAAATGACACAGAAATTAACAACTATAGGTCACCGTATTGCAAGTATTGTTTCTTTCTACATATGATCAAATATGATTTTGTGAATTCTATGGTAAATAATTTCTACATTTTTATTTAAAAAAATTACCGGTATGGTATTTATTATAAAGCAAAAGAATAAGGTAGGAAAACGAGGTACTGATTTGTCTTGGTCCCGAAATGTCTCCTGCGTTGTCAAACTGTCTATTAATCATGTCTATTAAATATGTCTCCTACGGTGCCAAACTGTCTATTAAAATTGTGAGCCGAATCGTTTCCGAGCTGGTGACGAACTATCTTGTAAAGTAGGCTGGTCCTCTCCCTTGCAACATTTACCTCAGAGCCAAACAGATAAAGGACAGAGAACCAGTCTATCTTGTAAAGTTACCTTTTCTACAAAGCGCATCGCTGATTCGGATCAGTAAAACTGGTTTCCGAGAATAGTATGCCTTTTACCTATTAAAAAGTACCTGACAAAGAACCAGTTTAAAATTATCGGTTTGCAAGTAAACATTTCAAATTAATACTTGTTTTTATCTTCTTTTCTTGTTTTTTGTTTATAATTACTTTGTTCATCAAAGTTGGATTAAATTTATTTTCTGCAGAATAATTTTACTTGTCCCGTCGGACAAGCTTGATATAGCTTTTACTTGTCCGACCTTTTTTTCCTCTGGTACCGGACAATCGGACAAGCGTTAATGTCGAGGCCTGCCAATATACTACTGCAACCTTTTGTCATCGCAACTCCTCTCAAACCACACAACAGAATTTCATGAAACCTTTTTAGATAATAAGGACATACTATGTAGTTGTGCATATCGACAGGAAATTACGATTCAATTCTTTTTCTAGGAGTTACGCCCCTTTGAACTTATTTACTTTAATGTACTACTGCAACAGTTTGTCATCGCAACTCCTCTCAAACCACACAACAGAATTTTATGAAACCTTTTCAGATAATAAGGACATACTACGTAGATGTGCATATCGACAGGAAATTACGATTCAATTTTTTTTCCAGGAGTTACGCCCCTTTGAACTTATTTGCCCAATATACTACTGCAACCTTTTTTCATTGCAACTCCTGTCAAACCACACAACAGAATTTCATGAAACTGTGTAGATAATAAGGACATACTATGTAGATGTGCATATTGACAGGAAATTATGATTCAATTTTTTTTTCTGATACAATTTTTTTTTCTTACACTTATTTTATTTATCCAATGACAATGTGGGGACGTGGGGTATGTGAGCGCGCTCACTAAGGTTCTTTAATTATTTCAGTAGGAAATCCAGGTAATTCATTTCAACCAATGTAATAAAAGATTTATATTAAACTTTTAGGAGTAGATGATACAGATGGACAGCCGGGAACATCTGCTGACACTGGTGAACAAGATGGTGCATCAAAAGATGATTTCTCTGACAGATCAGATGGTACTTACTTTATTCCTGTTAACCTCTAATGAAAAAAAGATGTGTCAGTGAGTTGTCAATTCAATAATATAAAAAGACACCTAGAGGTCAAGATACAGTCTTCAACAACATACAGCTGTTTATACCAAGGGTCCAACAAATTTTTCCGAACCTGTTCATTTTTCACAACTTATGTATACTCACCAGAAGCATGTAATTAAGAAGTCTTGAAGGCCCTATTTGGCTAAACAAGGAAAGCATTTTAAGCCTTCCTTTTTGCATAACTTACCTGAGATAGTTTACATAACTGTCTGAATCTGCTAAGAGTGTGCTTCCATCTCTAAAATGTATCATGCATTTAACCCAAGTTTACTTGATAATCATTTGAAATTTGAAATTTTTAAAGCAATTACAAAAAAATAGCACTCATGTTCATCATTTCTGACAGTCAATCTAAAATGCACTGAAGGTTTGAATTTTACTTTATCTGGAAATTCCAAACATATGGCTGAAAGTACCTAATTTTAGGCTGGAAAAATAGTATGGAAATGTTGACTATAATTAATACAGCAAAATAATTATGAAATTACAGTATCTGTTGACCTTGATACAATACCTTTTTCATGACTTATTGAATAGGTGTTACATTTATTGTAGCTGTTGATTTCTTTGTTTAATAAGATATTGAGTGAATTAGTGTTCCATTGAGTATTTCAGAGATTTGTCAGGTCAGGTAATTGCCTCATATAATTTATTATGTAGCTACATTTCACTTGTGGTCATGACAACTAACAATTTGAGATTTCATTGTTAAATTCACTAATTTGTATGATAATTGGTAGGCAATAAAGCAATCAAATAGTTAGTGGGAAAAACACCTGTTACAAAAAAATGCTATAAAATGGCCATTTAAAATCCTTCCCTTTGACTAAAATATTACATTTGTTTCTCCTTAGGAAAACCAAAGATAGAACCAATTGTATGGGAAGCTGGTGCTGCCATCAGGACACAAACAGGTCATACTGGTCAGGCATTCCGTTCACGGCCACCTCGACGAGGGCAGCCTCCATATCAGAGTCATAATCAACAGAGAGGTAGAGGACAGTTTAGCCAGCGAGGCAGGAGTCCTGTTCCACGTAGTACACGAGGTGGAGCTAGAGGCAGCAGAGGAGGAATGTTCAGATCTCCAAACATGTACTGACCCTAGTTATATAGTGTAACTTAGCAATGTTTGTCAAATAAGTTGAGCATGGATGTTTAAGTTTTAAAATCACTAATACTGATTATGTCTGAAAACTTATTTCTTATTATGTCATTTTGAAACATCAATACATGATTAATGAAAAATATTACGACTGATATGATAATGTTTATGAAACATTCTGAAACTCCTGAATTTAATAATTTTTATCATGTGCAATATAAATATTGGTCTGATAACAAGTGCATATTAAATGAAGAAGAAATTCTAAATGGTACCACTTTTTTTTTTTTAAATTTCTTGTTTTGGTAAATCAAGATTTTTTGAAGTAAATCAGAGAGGTTGTTAAAATATAAGTGCTTAATGATTGTAGATTCTTACAGACATTTTACATATTTATGTTGAGCATCATCTTCTACAGTATAAGAAGAAATATGATAAATTGTGTCTGACTTGACTTATCCTGTGATCTCTAGAAAGTAAACAAGGATGTTTTGTTAAAGCAAATGGTGCCTCATAACACAAGTGCATGTTATTGCTTCAATATCTTGGAAGTTTTATTTTACAGAAGATATACACAATCTTCTAACTAAAATTTAGCCTTTAAATAAATGATAACTTTTCACAAAAAAATCACATTTCATGATAAGAGGGACACACAGTAACCATAAGCATTGACAATAAATTCTGTATACTGTTGCTCACAATTTTGTTTTGAAGGATTTTTTTCGATGGTTTTTGGCACTAGTAATGATTTCAGGCTTGTTCTTATTATGGAAGAAAAATTAAGAAAGTTGATATGTGACATAAAACGTGAATTCTATGTAATCATTTTATTGTTCATATGCTCCTTGTTGTTGCTTTTCTATGAATGATTGTGTATTTAACCATACAAGGAAGAATGGTTTGTTATAAATATGAATGATATGTGGTAATGAAAGACTTTTGCATTAAATGATTAAATGTAATTGTTTTTTGTTATTGTGTGGCCTGACAGTGTCCAGCTGTAGTGACACATGGGTGATGATGATGGATTGATGCTTAATATCCAGCGGAAAATTGAATGCATATTCCGGGAACATGTTAATGTTTTATGAATATTAAACCTGCTTTGTACTAGACTGACATGCTGAGCTAGATTTTAAATGTGCTAGTTCACAAGGAAACAGTCTGCAGAAAGACATGTAGCCTACCCAGACACATTAATCCGACTTCAAGGTGACCAGTCTTTGCTCTTTCTCCGTAATGCTGTGTGCTTAGTGGGGAAGCAGCAAAATCCAATTTTACAGTCTTTGGTTTGACCCAGTGAGGGTCGAAACCACGACCTACCACAGGACCATATAGACGATTGTGACATGATCATTGTTTTTATGCACCACCTACGATAGTAGTAGGGGCATTATGTTTTCTGGTCTGTGCGTCTGTTTGTTCGTCCGTCCGTCCGTTCCGCTTCAGGTTAAAGTTTTTGGTCAAGGTAGTTTTTGATGAAGTTGAAGTCCAATCAACTTGAAACTTAGTACATATGTTCCCTATGATATGATCTTTCTAATTTTAATGCCAAATTAAGAGTTTTGACCCAAATTTCACGGTCCACTGAACATAGAAAATGATAGTGCGAGTGGGGCATCAGAGTACTATGGACACATTCTTGTTTGTTATTTTGTTGCCTGACAGGGTCTAGCTGAAGTGATACAAAAGTATCACCTCTATCACCTTGTGTCATTGTCCAAGTCTAACTGAACAGTAGATTACCAGCAACCCCTTGAAACAGCTTGATAGAATTCCACATAATGTGTTCTCAAGGGGGTTTATTCTGCTAATTTTGCAATGAAGATAAAATTGCGAAAATATCCCACTGTGCAAAGGAGTAAGTTCGGTAAGGGTAATTTTTGGCCCCAATTATTAAGTTAAATGTTTCAAGATAATAAATGTTTTAAAGTGATAAAAAGACATGTGAGAAAGTTGAATAGAACTTTTTTTGTCAAAGTTTTAGTTTTAAAGTGTTGATTTTTACATCCCAAATAGGTCAAAAATAGAGATTTTGCGAAATTTGACCCAAAAAAAAAACCGTTTTCATTGAATTTTCATTGAAAATCAAAATGAGTGCTATTTGTGACATCATGAATAGAACGCAAGTACGTACATTTTCAACAAAAAGACATGTTTTCTATCTAGTCATTGTATTAGCTACGATTCATTGTGATATTGGTCAATAAATCCTAATTTTAAATTGTAGCTAGAAATAGGGGCTGTTTTAGGGTGTTATCGAACTTACTCCTTTAATCTTTATGGAAAATCAGAATCATTGACAAGAAAAATGTGAACATATTTGGTACTAGAAGTTACAGAATTTAAACAGACATGAAACTGTGCATCTGCTGTTACAATATTAAACTTGAATGATTTTCAGGGTTTCCCTTACCAAAACATGGACTTTACAGCAGAAAAGGGAAATTTATTATTATGACAAAAAATAAGCACCTGAACAAGTTCCTCATAATATTGAAGCATTTGACACACAACTGATTTATCATGCAGAAGTGATCAAAAGATGCCCCCAAAAAATGTTAATAAATGTACCATAGAAAATGCCCTGATGTAGGTCCCAGTGAGACATGTATGCAAATAGATACATCTAAATCTCAAAAAGTATTTGAACAAGTTTTGTCTATTGTAATGACCTGTGCCTACTCATTCATATTGTGTGAATATATCAATGAAATGACTAGTCAAGCTACAGTTTACTTGGTATATCAGATAATATCTGAGGTAGCAATACACAGTTAAGAGTTTGGTTTCGCATTTTGACCCCAGTATATTTTTCAGATATGAAAGTTAAAATTAATTTTTAGATAGCTGAAGAACAATATAGCCTTCAAAGTGGGTTTATATGAACATCAAGATGGTTTTAGCATATTTTATAGGCCATTTTCTGTTTGACAGTCCAAATTTTTACATCCTTACTGGCTATATGTCTAGAAATTATTGAAGTGTTTTCCAAATGATATTTTACACTCGAACTTTTCGTTTCAATTTTATGGAAAAATGAGATGAAATGCATGATTTTATTTGACCTCTTGATAGTTAAATGTCAAGTTTCATAAAAGGTATCACTCAAATGGATTGAAACACATTTCTACTTTGGACCAAATTATTTGGTCATTTGTGATATTTTCACCCCCTTTTTTGCAAGATTTTGCATCAAATAAATGTAGATTGTTGCCATGGTTACACCAAAAAGAGATAATATTTCACCATTTCAACTATTGGAAATCAAGTATATGGAACATGAGGTTCACATTCATGACACAAACATTAAGCCTTATTTGTTAGAAAGCAAGGGAAAGAGGAGGGGGTGGTCAAAAACTATGAGTGTCAATTTTATGATTTTTTCCAGCTGTATTGCTACCCGATATGAATAAAACAAGACCAATACTGGGTCTGCACCTGCATCGCTGCATGCAATTGATTAATATGTATACTGGAGCATAACTGATCATTCCCTTTCACTGATGCCAAGAAAACTTTGTACAATGAGTTTGCAAACAGGAAGTGGCTACATGGGAGAGGTAAAATTTGTTTACTCCCAACAACTCAACATCATCAAGCTACAGACCAAATATTAAAGCATTCCCTTCAATAGGAGCCAAGAAAAGTT